TAAAAAAAAAAAAAAAAAAAAAAAAAATATATATATATATAGATTTTCTGGGCCAGGTTTGGGGAGTCTTATATATATATATAAGAAAAGATTGAGGAATTTTCTCTGAAAGTTGGAGAAAATGTATATATATATATTTTTTAAGTTGAAGTCTCACTCCATCACCCAGACTGGAGTGCAGTGGCCGCTCCTGGCCACTGCAGCCTCGAACTGCTGGGCTCCAGCAATCCTTCTGCCTCAGCCTTCCGAGTAGCTGGAACTATAGGTGCGCGCTATCACGCCCAGCTAATTTTTAAAAAATTTATTGTAGTGATGGGGTCTTGCCAAGTTGCCCAGGCGGGTCTCAAACCCACGGACTCAGGCAGTCCACTCACCTCAGCCAGTATTGTGGTAAAATAGACAATGAAATTTACTGTTTTAACCATTTTTAAGTATACAGCTCAGTGGCAGTAATTACATCCACTTTTGTAACCATCACCACCATCCATCCACACAACTTTTTTCATCTTGCAAAATTGAAACTCTGTACTCATTAGATAGTAACTCTCTATGCTCTCTTCTCCCCAGCCCCTGGCAGCCACCACTGTACTTTCTGTATTTATGACTTTGACTATTCAGGGAACCTTATATAAGTGGAATCATACAGTTTTTGTCTTTTTGTAACTGGCTTATTTCACTTAGCAAAATGTCCTCAAGATTCATTGATGTTGTTGCATGTGTCAGAGTTTTCTTTCTTTCTAAGGCTGAATAATATTACATTGTGTGTGTGTGTGTGTGTGTGTGTGTGTGTGTGTGTGTGTGTGTGTGTGTGTGTGTGTATACATACCACATTTTGATCCTCTCATCCGTTGATGGACACCTGAGCCGCTTCTATTTTTTGGCTTTTGTGAATAGTGCTGCTATGAACATGGGGTGCACAAATATCTCTTTGAGGCCCTGCTTTATTTCTTTGGATATATACCCAGAAATGGAATTGCAGGATCATATGGTAATCCTGTTTTTAATTTTTTGAGGATCTCCACACTGTTTGCCATAGAAGCTGTACCATTTTGCATTCCTACCAGCAATGCTCAAGGATTTGAGGGAACTATTTTTATAACAACTCTTCAGTACTGAACCTTTTTTTTTTTTTTAAGCTGTGGTCTAAATCTGTCACCCAAGCTGGAGTACAGTAGCACAGTTATGGCTCACCACAGCCTCAGTCTCCTGGGCTCAGGCAATCCTTCTGCCTTAGCCTCCTGAGTAGCTGGCACTACACGTACGTGCCACTATACCCAGCTAATTTTTTTGAATTTTTGTGGAGACATGGTCTCGCTAATGTTGCCTAGGCTAGTCTCGAACTCCTTGGCTCAAGAAATCCTCTTGTCTCAGCCTCCCAAAGTGCTGGGATTACAGGCATGATGGCTCATGCCAGTACAGATCTCTTGGCATTGATGTCCTATAAGACTAACCAAGAATTTATTAGTTGCCCTGTAAGTTCTGCTTCCTAGATTTAGAGACTTTTTTTTATAGTACCTCTTGGTTTATGGCACTCCCCTCCCTCCTCATTTCTGATATCTGAGTATTCCCCGAGCAGCAGTGACTGTACAAGTTATGTGAATAATCCTTTCCTTTGAGGTTTAGTCAGAAAATAAACCTCCCTTGTTTGGGCAGTTTACCCCATTCCATCTCACAACACAACACACAGGTACACACTTGCACTTCTCTACCCTCTCCCATGCTTTTTGCTAATGGCTAATAAAAGAATTGATAATTGTTTAAGTACCTGGCATTCTCCAGCTGCTCTCCTGTTCTCCCCTCCTCTCCAATCAAGCCAAATGGCCTAGATGTAGCAGGGAGTCAGGAGTCGGAGAGGAAACCAGTCACTGGGGATACAAAGATTTATGAGACACCTTCCCTGCCTTAAGTCATGTGGGAAGGGCTGTAGGAGTAGTGAGTGCAGCTGTTCCTCCGGCTCCTGATTTGTCAGGGAAGGTGGGAAAGTCTTAGGGGGAGGGTGCTTGAATGACCAGCACAAAAAGGCTGGGGAGGTATCTCTGTTTTACAGATGAGAAAATCATGTCAGAAATGTAAGTAACTGTGCTGGTGTCACAACACTACACTGGAGAGGCTAGCATTCAGACTCTGAAAGAATGCTAGTTTGAGACTGTGCGCCAAGATAAACTTCTGTATGAAAGACAAGCAAGCAACATTGGGGCTTTACTTTTTATCCATTACTTCACAAGATTCCAAATACATGAGTGCTAAGTTAAAAAAAGCAAATGATTACATTTTTTTTCCACCTTTAAATTTTTTATTTTAAAATTGTGGGGTACAATTCAGGGTTAGGTATACAGATATTCATTGTGCAAGTACCCTTGTTGATGAGGTGTGTCCCCCCTTCCCCAGGCAGAAGCCCACCACTGCCAATCCCACTTTCCTAACCCCCCAACCCCCTGCAGTTTCCCGCCACTGTCAATCCTTTTCTTATAGTATTATGGTAGTTGTTCAAGGTCCACTTATGAGTGAGAACATGTGATACTCAATACTTTGTTTCTGTGAAAGATCACTCAGTATTATTGTAAGTTCATCCAGGTTGATGATTACGTCTTTTAAGTGAATGTTTTTTAGGGATGGGGCATACAACAAAAACTATTATTCAGAATAATGCAAAGTTAGACTTTTTAGGAAAAACATTTTATTTTCACTAGTATGCTGAAATTTATTAAAGAATTTTTTTTTTTCTTTTTCCGAGTTGGAATGGAGTGCAGTGACCACTCCCGGCCACCGCAGCCTCGACCTGCTGGGCTCTGGCAATCCTCCCTCCTCAGCCTTCCAAGTAGCTGGAACTACAGATGCGTGCTACCATGCCCGGCTAATTTTTTTGATTTATTGCAGAGATGAGGTCTCGCCAAGTTACCCAGGCGGTTCTCGAACCCGCGGGCTCAGGCAATCCACTCACCTCAGCCTCCCAAAGGCGCGGGATTATAGGCTGAACCACCGAGCCCGGCTGGCAGCTTATTTTTAATAGCTAAAAACTGGAAACAGATAAATGTTTAATAGCTAAAACCTGGAAACAGGTAAACCTGATGAATGGATCAACAAAATGTGGTACATCCATTCAATGGAATACTACTCAGCAGTAACATAGAACAAACTATTGATATACACCGCAACATGGATGAATCTGAAAAGCATCACACTAAAGGAAAGTTTCCAGACACAAAAGACTACATACTGTATGGTTCTATTTATAGGAAATTCTGGAAAGAGCAAACTATAGAGTCAGAAAGCAAACCTATTTTTGCTAGAGTCTGGGGTGAGAGAAAGACACTGGCTATAAAGGGGCACAAAGAAACTTTCTGGGCTATTAGAAATGTTCTATGTCATTATTTCAGTGTTGATTCTATGGATGTATACATTTGTCAAAATTAATCAAATGTATTTATATATAAATACATATATATATCTCAAATAAAAACAAGAAGACAAACCTAGGGCATCACTTGGGGAAATATTTTTAAGCTTTGAATTTGGAGATCGTATTGTAAACAAGGTATCTGTAGTATTCATTTATATGTGAATCTATACCAAATATTGGCCCCTAAAATGTGTTTGCATAGAAAATCGTGAATGATCTGCTTGCTTTAATATCTCATTGCATTTTTGCTTTCTCTTTACCTCTCTGCCCAACCTAGAAAAACTCATTGAGGGACTAAAATCTCCTGACACTTCTCTTCTGCTCCCTGACCTCTTGCCTATGACTGATCCTTTTGGTAGCACTTCCGACGCTGTAATTGGTAAAGTTGTCATCTGTTTCTTTAGTCATGCATGATATATGTGTCTCATTCAAGAATGATGAGTACCTAAGTAAAGATCTCTAGTGAAGAGCCCCAATGAGGAGTGGGAATGCCACGAGGCCTCTTGGTTTTGGAGCTATGCCTTGTGCTAACCCAGAAGCCAAGGCTATTTAATCTCACTTGTTAAGACTTAAAATGAAGGCTTTTTCTCTGCTTTTCAGGGGCACAACACTGTTATTTTTACCTTTCTTGATATCCTGAGTTTTCTAGAATTAATTTCTTATGAAAGAGGAAGAATATGAAAAAAATTCACATTTAGTTACAAAACGTTCATTTAAAAAGTTTACTTTTAACTGGACTTTATCTTTACTGAACTTAATGGAATTTAGTAGATTATTCTTTAGAAGGCCTGTGTATATACCAGGTATCAATAACTGAGAAAACACTGCCTGGTGGTTCAGCCCAATGAAAGGAATACAGGGCTGGGGCTTAGTCTGCTTCCTCTCTCACATTTTCCTGTGCTCTAACAGCAAAGCAGGCAAGACCTGCAAAATGGCCAAGGCCCATGGAAAGACTTCATAACCCTATTGGGCAAAAAAGTCTTAGAACTCGGAAATGCATGACCTTCCAGAGAGATTGTCCTATGGTTGAGGGGTGTTACGTGGTGCAGAACACCTCCCAGTTACCTCATGGGATGGGGTGTGCATGGCACAGAGGATATTTTCCCCTGGCTTATTTCTTTTTCTTTTGTTTTCTTTTCTTTTTTTTGAGTTGGGATTCTTTTCTTTTTTTTGAGTTCTAATTCTGTTGCCCAGGCTGGAGTGCAGTGGCATGCTCATGGCCACCCCAGCATCTACCCGCTGGGCTCAGATGATCCTCCCACCTCAGCCTTCCAAGTAGCAGAACTACAGGCATGTGCTGCCACGCCTGGATAATATATATATTTTTTAATTGTAGAGATGAGGTCTTGGCAAGTTGCCCAGGTTTCGAACCCATGGGCTCAGGTAACCCTCTCACCTCGGCCTCCCAAAGTGCTGGGACTACAGACTTGGGCCACTGCACACAGCCAAATTTATCTTATTTATTTATTTATTTTTAAAAATTTATTTATTTTTGGATTGGAGTCTCTCTCTGTCACCCAGGCTGGAGTGCAATGGCACGCTCATGGCCACCACAGCCTCGATCTGCTGGGCTCAGGTGATCCTTCTTCCTCAGCCTTCCAAGTAGCTGGAATTAAAGACACGTGCCACCATGCCCGGCTAATTTATTTATTTATTGTAGAGGTGAGATCTTGCCAAGTTGCCCAGGCTGGTCTTGAACCCATGGGCTCAGGCAGTCCTTTCATCTTGGCCTCCCAAAGTGCTGGGATTATAGACGTGAGCCACCATGCCTGGTTTATTTCTTAAGAAAAGCTAAATTACCAGGAGAAATTAAGGTGCCTTTCAGCCTATCTCTTCTGATGGGGAAGAACTTTGCTGAGTGATTTGTGCTCTGAATTTGCCAATAAAAACTGATGATCACTGAGATTGGCCATATTAGCCTTGCACATACAGGCTCAATCTGTGAAGCCCAAACATTCATATCAGCAAAAATAAAGAAACTTACTGTGTTTCCCATCTTGCCTGAGACGGGCATGTGAGAGACTTGTTAGAAGAAAGGCTTCACAGAATCTCCTAAAGAACTATCTGACTCTCCCTTATCCTTCCTCTTCTTTCTTAATGCTATGTTACGAAAGAAAAATCTGATGTTGCTGTTGAGAGTCTCATACCAGGACTGGAGCCCCCAGTTCCCCAGCGCCTTCCATCTCAGACGGAGTCTGTGACCTCGAACCGCACAGGTCAGTCAGGTGTCTGGAGCTGCGGGGGCTGGTCAGTGAGTGAACCCTCCAAGCTAGTCTTTCTACTGCAGCAGTTGATCCTGGGTGTGTTTCGCACCTCCTAGATTGAGCACCTCCTAGGATGTTATAGCCCCGGCTTCTAGATGTTGAGGGATAGATTTCCTTGCTACAGACCTAAGTACTTTCTGGAGCCATGTTCTTTGTAGAGTAATCTCTGAATTTTCTCTGGTTACAGTATTTCTTTATTCAAGATTCTTTTCACTGGTGGCATGTTTTCTCTACCTCCTTAATTAAAGAACTCTGCTGAGCTGTAAGGATGCTTTTAGTTCCTCCAGGTTGCTGAGCAATTTCTCCTATCTAACATTGTCAGTGATACCCATGGACTCATCTTCTGTATGTTGATATTCTGTTCCCAGGACAGTGCTTTAGTCACATATAGGTGATATCATACTAATTAAAAAAATTTAGTGTTAGTAGAATTTCTTAACTGCTCATAAATACAGATTTGATGGCTTTGATTTTTTAAAAATCCATAATTGACCTTGATAAAAATATTTGGTTTTCTAACTTAGAATAGAACCAATTAATAATCTAAGAACTAGCCGGGCTCGGTGGCTCAGCCTGTAATCCTGTGCCTTTGGGAGGCTGAGGTGAGTGGATTGCCTGAGCCCGTGGATTCGAGACCCGCCTGGGCAGCGAGACCTCATCTCTACAATAAATCAAAAAATCAGCCGGGCGTGGTAGCGCATACCTGTAATTCCAGCTACTCGGAAGGCTGAAGCAGAAGGATCTCCGGAGCCCAGCAGGCTGAGGCTGCGGTGCCCGGGAGCGGCCACTGCACTCCAGTCTGGGCGACAGAGTGAGACTCCAACTCAAAAAAAAAATAATAATAAAAATAATAATCTAAGAACTGTGAGGATAAACTCATTCAGGTTAAAAAAAAAGTTACCCCCTAAACAATATGATTTATTTTCCTCGTCATCACTTGGATGTTTTCTACCTGAAAACAATTTCTGTGTCAAAGTGCTTGAACTCTGAATTTTGTCTTCTTTCTTTTCTTTAACTGAAACCAAAATCATGTGTTCAAAGGACCAATTCAAATGTATGGTATACTACTAGTAAGAGGCATTTTGAGTTGAGAAGTAGAAAGTACTGATTAATCTTGTCGCATTCTGCTAATAACAAGCCACTGTCAACCCTCTCCTAATCAGTTTGGATACCTGTAGTAATTTCCTCCTGTGAGGATTTTTTCCCCTAGAATAGCTTGCTCCACTTCTGTGAGTTTTTAAGAAAAGTTTAAATGAAACTCTAGTTTCAAAGCCCTATTTCCCAAATGGCATTTGCTGAGTTGCTGAAGTTATGTTGGCATCCATATCAAAGACTTGTTTAACTAGCAACCTTTGAGCAAAATATTCCCTATTTCTATTATAATGTAAAGAGGAATCTAGAAATACCTGTTTCTATAGATGGACATCCCTAAGGCTTAGCATGTTTCTTTTGTTTTTCTCTCTCCCATCTTGGTTTATATGTATAACATGTAAATGCAGTAACTTGAAGGCTAAAATCTAATCTCGTGATATTGTTGTATGTGTCACTTAATGCCATCACTGACCTGGGATGCGGTGAATCTGGACTCAGATTCTCTCACCGGGGAAGATTCCCTGCTTGATTGCTCTCTGCTTTCTAACCCTACTACTGACCTTCTGGAAGAGTTTGCCCCCATAGCAATCTCTGCTCCAGCCCATAAAGGTAAACGCTTTCTTCCTTTCAAGGAATTATTTATCAGTCCTCAACCAGGCACAGTGGCTCATGCCTGTAACCCCAGCACTTTGGGAGATCAAGAAGGGAGGATTACTTGAGCCCAGGAGTTCAAGACCAGCCTAGACAACATAGTGAGATCTTATCTCTACAAAAATAGAACAATTAGCTGGGTGCTGTGATGCACACCTGTAGTCCCAGCTCCTTAGGTGGCTGAGGCAGAAAGATCATCTGAGCCCAGGAGGTTGAGGCTACGGTGAGCTGTGATCATGCCACTGTACCCCAGCCTGGGTGAAAGAAGAAAAAAAGAGCTAATCCTTCAAGGTTGAACTTGTGAAAGTTTTGAATTTATTTCACCTTTAAGTCATGACTGATGACTGGGTTTCTCCTTCTAATCTGCCATTTTCAATTCTTAATCTTGGGGTAATACTGGTTTTTGAAATTCTGCTGTAAAGAGGTAACTAGAATTGAGTTTTATTCAGTGAGTGGTTTGTGACAGTGTTAGGCACAATACCTGGCTGTGCATAGGCATTTACTGAACTTTGTGATTGGGTAGTGCAAATGGTTTCCTGGAAGGAGAAAATGCACAGAGAATGAACAGCTTAAGTTCCTTCTGAAGGAAATTCAAGAAGGAAGCCTCCCCAAGATGAGTAAAAATAATTACCTTGTGGTTTGCAATGGTGATTGCTGAGTTTTTGTTTTTGCCCTGATAGCATTAAAATGATTATGTTTTTATAGAGTGTGTAGAGGGAAGTTACCTGTTTAAACAGTTATGTCTGGCAAGAGTATGTTAGCAGCAATGTATAATTACAGAAAAGCATTGCTTGCAAAATAGATGCTCAGCTAACACTTGCTGGTAAGGGAGCTTTAATTAGAATGGAGAAGACTATTCTGACAAACTCCTGCGTGAGGTCTCAGTACATGCGATCTTGACACCAACATTCCCTGAGGCATCTGGGTTGTTTGAAAATGTCTTTTTTTCCCCCCTCAGTCACAGTGCAGTGAGTCCTTCCAGAAGTATATTGTTTGCCTTATGTATAGTGGTTACTTCTTAAAGAGACACTAATTATCTTCCCCCTTCCCTTGCCTCTGATTTTGAGTTTTTCAGATATTGTTAATCAGGTCTCTCTTCCCTCAGTAAAGATGACAAATGACTAATTCCTGTGCCTTTGTGATTTAGTGACATTAAAGAGATACCACACCATAGTTATAATTAGTAGTCTTAAAAATATTAGAGAAAATTCTTCTGAGAATATTTCTCTTTACTCCTTTTTGAAAGTCTTAATATGGCCAGCTCTAAAGCATTTTTTCCTGTGTCTCTAGATTTGCTACTTTTATTTCAACTCAGAAAAATAAGTACTTTCACCATTAAAGACAACAGCTATTGTACAGTTGGGAACTTTGTGTCTCTTTCACATTCTCTCCTTTGCTAATCTCTACTTCTGTTGTTTCTGCTTGTGTACTTGCATTCTGTATTAAGCTGCAGAAGATAGTAATCTCATCTCAGGTTTTGATGTCCCTGAGGGCTCGGACAAGGTGGCGGAAGATGAGTTTGACCCTATTCCTGTATTGATAACCAAAAACTCACAAGGTAAGAAAAAGGCGGGGGCAAAGAGAATAGCTTGGCATCAGCTCTCTTCAGAAAAGTAATATTACCAGTCTGCAGAGCAGAAGAACCAACATTTTAATGATGGACACGGGGAGCAAGGGGTAATGACAGTCACTATGGGTTGGTCCAGTATAGCTAGATAGAGATGGAGATACTGATACAGGGATCTTATAGCTTGACTGTGGGTTTCTTTAGCAAGAACTGCTTAATAGTTGGCTAAAAGCTAGTTTTTACAATCAAGCCCAAAATAAAGTGATCTTCAGTCAGTGGCAACATGAAGTTGTGTGTCAAAAACACTTAACATTTTTATCATGGTTAGAACAATCTGTAATAAATATTCTTTTTTTTAATCAATATTTTTTATTATGATATTGTGGGGTACAGTTAAGGGTTAGGTATACAAATATGCTTCATTTAGGCCCCCTTGTTGATAACAGGTGTTTCCCCATCCCCAGACAGATGTTTACTACCATTAGTTGTAATAAATATTCTTAAAGAGGTTAAATGTGGTGTTGTGGTATCATACACAACTTTTAGACATTAGTGGAGCATCCTTTTCCCTCTTTGATGGATGAAAATCACTTGAGCATGCCATAAAACACTAAATTGTCATAGAACATCTATTTATCTTTTAAAGCACATTCTTATTGTTGTGACTTAATAACTAGTTTCTCCCCAAAGCAGAAATTATTGATTTTAACTTTACCAGAGAGATGGCTTGGTGTTATCAGGAGGTTAGCATACAGCCAGCAATTCTCAGGCACGATAAGTATTGATTTGAAAGTAGCGTCTTCTTTGCAAGGTGTCCTGCCTATACTATGGTGTGCACAAAGTGCCTGAACTTTTGGTGGGAGGTGGCAGATGGCTAATTTATATGTTTAAAAACCAACACGTAAGGGATTGCAAATGTAAAATGTTGCTTCTCTAGGGTTTTTTTGGTTTGTTTGTTTCTTTCTTCTTTGCTTGCTCTGCACATCTAAACCTTAATCCTGTGTGTTTTGTATTGAATTCCTATCTCTCCACTTCCAGGTGGGCACTCTAGAAACAGCAGTGGGAGCTCTGAGTCCAGTCTTCCCAACCTAGCCAGGTCTTTACTGCTGGTGGATCAGCTCATAGACCTGTAGCCGTGACCCAGTAGCAGATGCAGTTCTGTAACCTTCATACCGTAATACAAGTTTTCATTACGGAGTTATGAGAAAAATGATTTTTTAAAAAAATCTGCAAACAAGGGGCCCTCCAGCCCTTTTTTCCTACCCCTTGCCTTCTCCTGTAGAAATGATAAGGAAAGAAAATCACTTTGGCCCTCCATATATTCCTTGGCCAGTGCCTCCCTGTTAGTTTGCTGTATTTTCTCATTATCCTTCTTCAATAGCATTATCTTAAATCAAGCACTAGATGCCATGAGCTTCACCTCTGCTGGAATCGACTCCACCCAAAGCTTAATTGTAACTGAAACTAGTGAATTGACACCTTTGTCTCATTCTTGCTAGGAATGGCCTCCCAAATCAATCTTCCCAATCCCTGTCTCCTTTGGCCAGATGCTGATGAATGTGTTTCCCTATTTTTGCTTTTTATCCTGATGCATTATCATGAGGACATGGCTTCTTCAGTTGGTCTTAACTCTAGGCAGCAGCCTGGAGATGGGTGTGTGGTTTAAGAGAGGGTGAAACTAACTGACTGATAGTACATGTTTGAGAAGAGAAATTGAGCCCAGCTCTAGCCAACAACTTCGACCTTGTTTGATCATTGACTTAGCCAAGGGATTTTACACCCCATGCAACCTGCCCAGCATTTGTCCAGCTTTCTGGCATCCATTGAACCGTGATTTCTCAGATCTGGAGACGTGACTGCAAGTACTTGAGATCCTTGGATAAAATGTATATGTTATATAAAGCCCAAGTGTTACCATTCCTTTTTATGTTTACTGCCCCAAGCTGGGATCTCAGAATTAGACCAAAACAAGACAATGGTGGTAATATGATACCTTTTATTAGAATACTTTTAACTGGGGGAGGGGGGGAGAATGGGGAAGGGGAAGGAATTGTAGCAGAAACAGATGTATTTTTCTTGTGATTTTTATTTTGAATCAAATATTGTAAATTGTGTATAAATGAAGATGCTGAATAGTTCTGTTTCCACTTGGCGTTTCAAGTCCGATATCAGGTGTCTGTACAGGGTTTTGATCTCTTTCCCTTGTATAACTACACAGCAATCCTACAGTGTAACATATGGAGTCATTTTGAGTAGACTTGTGTGTTGCTATAAGCTTTCAGCAGGTCCTCTGTCTCTAGAATAAGCATGTTGTTTATTTCCAGATAATCAGAAATAAATGTGCTGACAAACTGGGCACAATTTGACTGTGCCCAGCTTACCTTTCTTTCTCTCTGATGTTTAAATTGAAGGCTGCAGCCAATGGAATATGTTCAGTTGGTTTTCCTTGGCTTCCTAGATTTAAAACAACAACAACAACAACAACAAAGCATAGTTATCCATTAACCTTAGAATATTGTTTATAAGATAAATAAAGGTCCCTGCACTGACATGACAGTACGACTCATGGTCACCTTCTGTATATGTACTTACTCATTAAAGTGTATTTTTTTTCCTTATGTGGAAAGCACTTTTCTGAAATCACCCTTCTGAAAAGAGGCGGGCACAGAGAACCCCACTGTTCTCTGCCTCTTGTGCCATTGTCCATGATCAAAAGGGAAACTCTTAGTTGATCAGGATTTGTACAAATAAAATTCCGAGTCCATTTGCTTGTTTCGCTATCTAGTACTTTTATTTCTTCTTCCTCATGTTTGCACTTTAAGGGGGGAAAAAAAGTTTAACAGCAAGAACAGCCTGCAAAACAGTGTACCCTGGAAGGCAAGCTTTGACCCCAGTAATGTGAGAACAGCCTTTGAAAGGCATCAGAGGAAAGTGAATCTTTTCCTCGTCCGTCTGACTTTAAATACTTCCCGTGCAGACTGGAACTAGATGACCTAAGTAAAGGCCCCTGTTAGGAAACAGATCATTTCCAAAATCGAGAGAGGCACAAGCTTCCTGCCAAGGATTAAAAAAAGATATCCATGAAAGACTCTCCATGATCAGGTAGCAGTGAACTTGGCTTATCCCTTAATGGACAGGAAAATTGCTACAGGTCACAAGTGTATTCTCTTTCCTGGACATAGAAAGAATGTATAAACTAACGAAGGAAATGTTTATTTTTAAATAAGATTAATGTTTTAGTTCTATGTTTTCATATTTGATTTTTCATATATACGTGTTAAAGATATAAAATATCTATAGTTTCTTAATTTAATTGAAACCATGAAGAGTACAGTTTAGAAATTAGGTCTGTCTAAATTGTTCCTTTCATGCATTACCCATAATTACATTGAGATATATTATCTAGCCATTTGGCTCAATAAAGCTTAATGGAGCCAGTTAATGAAAATGAACAGACCAGAAGCGAGAGACAGCAGTACATGCCCGAGAGAGGTAATGACAAGAGATTATCTTGGGCTTATTCTTTAGAGTAGGGCCCCAAAGGGGAGAACTGTTTTTCTGTTACAGAATACACATGAGTGTTTGGTAAATGGGACCTTCCTTGGTTTATAGCATCACCCTGAGCTGGAAGAGTTTCTGTCAGATGACACAGTGTACTAGTAATTGACAGTCCTGTAGAACCATAGGCTGAGCTACAAGAGGGTCCTCTGGTACCATCCACTAGTCCACCATCCTCTTCATGTTCAGGTGTGGGAGCTGAGCCGGCTTGAACAGGGTCAGGGGAGAAGAGGCCTGGGCAGGACAGGCCACCCGGGATCTCTTCCTGGTCCTGACCAGGCAGTGACTACGAGACCTTCACTGCTCAGAGCCGCTGTTCCTTATTTATACAATAGGTTTGGATTAGATGATCTTTCGGATAGAGAAATATAGGGTCCTAATATATATTATTATGTTTTGAAGGACTATGAAGGATTTATATAATCCTGATGTTCTTCAGTTATCTTCTGTAGTTCCTGCTATTATGGTGGCAGTATTTACATTCTAAAGAATTATACTGGGCTTTTACTAACCTGGGTTGCTCTTTCTTGATGATCTGAATAGAAGCCTAAATCATCACAGTCTTTTTCCTTTTTAAATATTACACACACCCTTGCCTATTCCAATAAAATGCTTTCAGGAGATTTCAATTTTTAAAAAATGTATAATTAGAGACCTACCGTTTTAAAATGGGCAAATATTATAAGCATATGTTTTTTATTTACTTTTATTCCAACTTTGTAAGAGTAGTAACTTTACCAGAAAACATCACAATTTTTTTTAACCCCTTTACAACATTTGAATAACAAGATCACCAAATTTAAGTCCCAATGCAGTATTTTAAAAAAATACATACCTGGGCCAGGAGCGATGGCCCACACCTGGAATTCCAGCACTTTGGGAGGCTGAGGTGGGAGGATTGCCTGAGCCTAGGAGTTTGAGACCAGCTTGGGTAACATAGTTAGACCTCATCGCTACAAAAAAAAAAAAAAAATTAAAAAATTAGCTGGGTGTGGTGGCATGCACCGGTAATCCCAGCTACTCAGGAGGCTGAGGCAGAAGAATCACCTGAGCCCAGAGGTAAAAGCTGTGGTGAGCCATGATCATGTCAGTGCACTCCAGCCTGGCGACAGAGTGAGACCCCAACTAAAAAAACAAAGAAACAAGTATAAAAATAAAAATACATACTTCAGAGGAGAGATATGATTTAAATGGACACTTTTAAATAAGACTATAATTAATAATTTCTTTAGCAGATGTATATCAGAATTTTGACATCTAATTGAATGTTGTTTCCTACAAAGGCATCTAGTTATACTTGGAAAGTTACTTATTCTAACAATAATGCCATCATTTAAATTATTTTTGAAACTCCTCTCCATAGAAGTAATAAAGAAGGTAATAAAGTATAGGAAAGTCAGTTATATTATCTATTTAGCATCACGTTCAGCATCTGAAAGTATATTCTCTTTTGTTATCTACTTTTTCTGCCACTCTTGGTTCTGAGTAACATTTAGCCACTTCCAAAAAGCAAAGTCGTCCCTGTACGATTGAAAATACTAAAAAGAAAAATCCACGAAAATTCCCAGAGAGACTCTTATAATAGAAAGTGAATCTGGTAACATCTTAATTTCTTTAATATTCTAAATAAGGGAACCTCTGTGATGCCCCAGTCTTCAGTATGGTTTAGAAAATTGAAAGATACAGGTTTTAAAATACCTCTGAAAGAGATTGTCACTTTGTTCAGTGTCATTTGATATTGGACTTGGCTCTTCCTGAATTAGAATTGTAAAACTAGGATTGCTAATACTTGTAGGAAAACAATCCCAAGAACCTACTTCTCTTGAGATGAAATATTAATTTTGTTCTGTTTTTAATAGTTATCTTTTACTCTTCTGACAGATAATTAATCATTTTGATTCAAACCACCATAACCTTCCCCCAGGTCAGGAATGAAGGGACCTTTGGGGCTGACCACCCCGAGGTATGGAGGGATCTGCTCTCCGCTGAATAAGTGCATGCCATGGATACCTTGGGCCAAAATAAAGTGTCTTGTGATGAAATTCTTCTGCAACTCCCAGACTCCTTAACCTTCTCAGTCTGTAGGATTATCAGGCTCCTGTAGCCGCTACCTTTGAGTTTCGGGATAAAAATGACAGAATTACCCAATGTACTGAATTAAGCAGCTCAGAGGCTGCCTGGCAGAACAGAAAAGCTATCACATGAATTTGTAGAATGGAATCTCTCCTGAAACACTCCAGATATCGCAAAGCTATCTTCTGTTCCTCTCTAGAGACTATATTTACCAACACAAGGTTAACCGTTTTCTTTTTGTAGTGGTGTTCCTGAAGTTGGATGTGCTTGGGTTTCTTGAGTCAGAAGGAATCCCAGATGGCCTCCATTTCAAATAATCTATAACAAGATACTGTTTTGTTTCTCCTGGGTTTCCTTTCACAAAGATGAGAGGGGGGCCCCCGGGTCATCCGGCCTGTGCAAAGAAGTGACCAAATGGTGGTAGTTGCTAGAATGGAAGACACACTCTTGGTTCCTACTTTGCCGTAGCATTAAGTTTGCTCTTTTCCTGTGAGTATTCTGCTCTGCCCTCTCGCACACCCCTCTGTCACGTGGATGTGTATTGACTGTAGGTCTTTAACTTGCCCTCCCTAAGAAGACAAAGCAAGCAGATGTACATGAAGCTGTCTTATGCAGTAAAAATGTGAAATTTGAACATTGCTGCACAAAGTATTGTATAAAAAGCAAGTCTGTAAAGAAATTTCTTATGTAAACATACAGAGGAATAAAGACTTTTATCTGTTCAAATGGAAGCATGATGTTTAGAGATGTAGATAACTTAAAATAGCTGCTCTTTTCCTGAGCTGAAAACCCACTTTTGCAGAAAGGAATTAAAAGCATTGTTAAGTGACAGTAAGTACCAGTGCACAAGAAAAGTGTGGAGACGTGTGAGAGACAGACTGAGGACATTTTTAATGAGTCATGGCCACCCTGAGAATAAAACCTTTCTGGGCAAGGAGAATAAAACACCTGCGAGTCTGCTCTGGAGATGGCCAGACACAGAGTTGTAAATCGGAGCACAGATTTGCAGCTTCCCTCCTCTGATTTAACCTCTCATATCTGATTTAATCTCTCATATACCCAGGCCAATTTAATTCAACATTTTATGTTGGCAAGAGCAATTAGATGCCCCATGAGAAATCTCTCATCTAGTTGCCCCATTGCCATGAGAAGCACAGCATCACTAGCTGTGCTGGCTCTCATCAGGTCCCTATTTCCCAGTCATGGGTTTACATGCAGCCACCTGGCACATGGCAGAACCAAACGCTTAATTCTATTATCTAAGCCAGAGGTCATGGAAACTATTCGTTTGCTATACATCTCTTGCTTCCCTGATTTGGTTCCAGGACTTTAACTTTCAATTGGTGCTGCACTGCTGAAGTTCTTGTGAAGGGGTATTTTGCTTTCTGTTCACTAGATGAGAAGGCTTTTCAGTGCTCCCACTCTTCATTTTCAGTTTTTGGCAAGAGCTGTGTCTTTGATACTCTCCGTAACTGTTATTTCAGTTTACGGTATGGGGAAAGGTAAAATTTTGGTTGTGCATGATATATTGCAATAAGAAATATCCAGCCTGAAACTGAAGTTCCTTTAATTCTATAAATTAATTTTAATTCTACAGAAAGCGGTCTGATGACCCTCTCCATGTCAATCAGATAAAATTTTCAGGGGAGACCCCTCCTAAACAATTCAGTCCTTTTGGTTGCTTTGGTAGTTAATAGGAGCTGGTGAGGATAGTTGCCAAGTCATCTGGTACTTTTTGGGACTCCTTTCCTATTCTCTGAAGCACATGGGTTCTTACTGAAATCTACATAATTTGAAGCCTCCATTTTTAGACTTATATGGAGTTACCAGTTTTGGAAGTGTAACAGTGGCTTAACCTGGCACACAGTTCTACATCCGAACAAGAAGAATAAGTATATTTTGGCTTCTTGCTTGATTTGATGTGCTAAACTAAAATAAGAGAGGCATGACCCGGTTTGAGGGAGTTGTAACAAAACCCGACCCTTGTGCAGAGGATGAGTCCGGGCCCCTGGCTTAAGAACCTGAGACACAACAAGCTGTCGTTACTGAGCTCTGTGGTCACAGGTGTCTGCTGTGACATGCCAGCGGTTACCAAAGGACCTGGGCCAAGGCATGTGGTTAAATTGGTGTAAAGCCTTCATTGC